AGGCGTGGATTTTTAAAGAATGTTTTTTGAGGTCTACCATCAGGCGTGGATTTTTAAAGAATGTTTTTTGAGGTCTACCATCAGGCGTGGATTTTTAAAGAATGTTTTTTGAGGTCTACCATCAGGCGAGGATTTTTAATGAATGTTTTTTAAGGCCTACCATCAGGCGTGGATTTTTAAAGAATGTTTTTTAAGGTCTACCATCAGGCGTGGATTTTAAAAGAATGTTTTTTGAGGTGGATTTTTAAAGAATGTTTTTTGAGGTCTACCATCAGGCGTGGATTTTTAAAGAATGTTTTTTGAGGTCTACCATCAGGCGAGGATTTTTAATGAATGTTTTTTAAGGCCTACCATCAGGCGTGGATTTTTAAAGAATGTTTTTTAAGGTCTACCATCAGGCGTGGATTTTAAAAGAATGTTTTTTGAGGTGGATTTTTAAAGAATGTTTTTTGAGGTCTACCATCAGGCGTGGATTTTTAAAGAATGTTTTTTGAGGTCTACCATCAGGCGTGGATTTTTAAAGAATGTTTTTTGAGGTCTACCATCAGGCGTGGATTTTTAAAGAATGTTTTTTTAGGTCTACCATCAGGCGTGGATTTTTAACGAATGTTTTTTAAGGTCTACCATCAGGCGTGGATTTTTAAAGTATGTTTTTTAAGGTCTACCATCAGACGTGGATTTTTAAAAAATGGTTTTTAAGGTCTACCATCAGGCGTGGATTTTTAAAGAACGCTTTTTAAGGTCTACCATCAGGCGTGGATTTTTAAAGAACGCTTTTTAAGGTCTACCATCAGACGTGGATTTTTAAAAAATGGTTTTCAAGGTCTACCATCAGGCGTGGATTTTTAAAGATCGCTTTTTAAGGTCTACCATCAGGCGTGGATTTTTAAAGAACGCTTTTTAAGGTCTACCATCAGGCGTGGATTTTTAAAGAACGCTTTTTAAGGTCTACCATCAGGCGTGGATTTTTAAAGAACGCTTTTTAAGGTCTACCATCAGGCGTGGATTTTTAAAGAACGCTTTTTAAGGTGTGGATTTTTTCTCTTCCCTAAAGAAAATCACTATTTACGACAATGTGTAACTTATGGTAAACAAACAAAAAAGTTTACTTTCTTTTACGGTTGTTTACCATTGTCATTTTATCCTTTCAGCGGTGCCACATTCACATTTTGTTGGTTTCCTTTTTTGTTCGCAAAGAAATTTAAATACATATAAAATATTTGGCTAAAACCAAGGACAATAAATTTCACTACTCTAGCAAGGATGGATGGTTGAGGGGGATGGGTAAATAGTCCGTGTCGTATTTTAAAACTATTGCGTTGTCGTTCCACAATGTTTTGTGTGAAATTAATGTTTGGTTTAAAAAGCAGCATGAGGTAAATAAATGGCAGTGTCCTTGAATGGTAGAAAAAGGCTACAAATGCACAATCATGAATGGATGATGAATGCGTGTGCACACTTGTATTGTGAAATATGATTTGTGTTCCAAAAAATCCGCTGGTTATTCAGTAGTCTTTTAAGTCAGAAATTGTATTTTCAGATTCAAGCAGCAGGTCAATTTTTTTAGGAGGAACCAACAAATTCTGTGGCACAAAATTTGGAGTAGGTTTCTCCTCTACATTAAATATATTAAATTCTACACACATCTAAACGTCATCCTCACCTTTGCCTATTGCTAAACACCTTAGCATCCTAACGAATTAAAATATTACCCAAAAATCTGTAAACTAGACTAAAATATTAAATATTCGTATTAATATTATTTTTATTTAAATAAATTTTTCATTATTACAAAATAATAAATTACAATTTCCAAGTAAAAGACGTTTACCAAAGTTGAATTCATTCATACATATTTATGAAAATTCAACTGCAAGGCAGACAATGGCGTAGGTGAAGAACAATTCCTTGGAGAAATTTAAAATTGCCCAAAGGAATGGTGGGAACTAGTTTTCAAGTTCGAAATAGCCATTTATAGAAAAATGTTCCAAAATCACTTACAGTTTTCAGATTCCTACTAAACTACGCTCGAGGCCTAAAATTCTGTTTCAACAGCATATTTACATTACAAGCTGAAACTCAAACAAATGTAATGATGAAAAGAACAACAAGAACAACAAAATCCATTTTTTTGGTTATTTCCAATAAGAATTCTAACAAAATTTACCAACATGATGGGAGGCAGTGGTTCGGTGTTTGGTTGGGCGCCACACACCCCAACCAAAAACTAGAAATAAACAATTCGTCGAATAGGAATGAAAAAAGAAGTCAATAGAATATATAATACTAAAAGGAAATTACTTTTCATTTTAAAATAAACGCACAAACACACACATACATACAGAGAAACACACAAAAGCTACTTGAAATGAACAAAGGTGAATGCCAGGTTTTTTATTTAAAGCATCGCTTTAAATGGAAATAGATATTGAAGGTCTGATGTAAATTGGGATTTTTAAAGAGAAAGCATAGAAGCAAAAAATGGCTTGAAGTTTTAAAGAGTAGTTATTCAAGGTCTATAAGTGGCGTAGGGTTTTTTAAATGTAATTTTTTAAGATCTACCATCAGGCTTGGATTTTTTTAAATATTATTTTTTAAGGTCTACCACCAGGCGTGGATTTTTTAAAGAATATTTTTTTAAGGTCTACCATTAGGCGTGGATTTTTTAAAGAATATTTTTTTAAGGTCTACCATCAGGCATGGATTTTTTAAAGAATATTTTTTAAGGTCTACCATCAGGCGTGGATTTTTTAAAGAATATTTTTTAAGGTCTACCATCAGGCGTGGATTTTTTAAAGAATATTTTTTAAGGTCTACCATCAGAACTACCATCAGTGTGGATTTTTTAAAGAATATTTTTTTAAGGTCTACCATCAGGCGTGGATTTTTTAAAGAATATTTTTTAAGGTCTACCATCAGGCGTGGATTTTTTAAAGAATATTTTTTAAGGTCTACCATCAGGCGTGGATTTTTTAAAGAATATTTTTTAAGGTCTACCATCAGGCGTGGATTTTTTAAAAAATATTTTTTAAGGTCTACCATCAGGCGTGGATTTTTTAAAGAATATTTTTTAAGGTCTACCATCAGGCGTGGATTTTTTAAAGAATATTTTTTAAGGTCTACCATCAGGCGTGGTTTTTTTAAAGAATAGAATATATCGACACATGGTTCCTTTTGAGAATATGCATGGAATCACTTTCTGAGTCGATTTACGCATGTCCGTCTGTCTGTCCGTCTATGTATTTTTGTGAACAATGTACAGATAGCATTTATGATCCGATTTGGATGAAATTTGGCACAAGTCACTTATTTCGCCCAAGGGCGAACTCTGTTGGGAAAAATCGGTTCAGATTTAGATATAGCTCCAATATATATATATATATATATATATATTCGTCCGATTTAATGTAAATGGTGCACCAAAGTCCCTATATATCTCTCGATTTGCACGAAATTTAGCACAGCGTACTGAATTAAGCCTAGAACGATGTGTGTCAAGTTTCCTGAAAATCGGTTCAGATTTAGATATAGCTCCCATATATATTTTCGTCCGATTTAATGTAAATGGTGAACCAAAGTCCCTATATATCTTTCGATTTGCACGAAATTTGGCATAGCGTGATGAATTAGGTGTAGAATGATTTGTGTTAAGTTTCGTGAAAATCGGTTCAGATTTAGATATAGCTCCCATATATATTTTCGTCCGATTTAATGTAAATGGTACACCAAAGTTCCTAAAGAGCTTTCGATTTTCATGAAATTTGGCACGGCGTAATGAATTAGGTCTAGACTGATGTGTGTTAAGTTTCCTGAAAATCGGTTCAGATATTGATATAGCTCCCATATATATTTTCGTCCGCTGTATTGTAAATGGTGCACCAAAGTCCCTATATATCTTTTGATTTGCACGAAATTCGGCACGGTGAAATGAATTAGGTCTAGAATGATGTGTGTTAAGATTCGTGAAAATCGGTTCAGGTTTAGATATAGCTCCCATATATAGTTTGGCCCGATTTTAAGTAGATGGTGCACCAAAGTTCCTGAAAATCATTAGAAATGCACGAATAAGTTTCGTGAAAATCGGTTCAGATTTAGATATAGCTCCCATATATAGTTTCGCCCGATTTTAGGTAAATGGCGCACTTAAGACCCGTAGCTAAGCTGATTGACAAAACGTATTCAAATTAATATAAATTAATCACTAGCAAGTTCACTTGAAATCGGTTCAGATATAGATATAGCATAGCTTCCATATATATTTTTGACTTATTCATGTTAATTGTACACCAAATAATCAATGGGTGTCTGATTGAGATTAAATTTCGAACAGTACATAGGTTGCAGAATGACATGTGTAGGGATTAATGTTAGTCGGTTCAGATATAGATTAAGATCACACATTTAATTTCCTTTGATTCCATCTCAATGGTCCTCCAAAGATTCTATGTCTGTTCAATCTACAGGATATTGTAGATATTAACATCTCTTGTCTGTACCCAAAGTGCTGAAGGGTGTCATGTAGTCGGCCCAGTCCGACTTTACTACTTTCCTTACTGGTTTTTATTTATTATATTACCATCTAATTGTATCGCTATCATCAGGGGATACAATCCTAAAATTTAACAGATAAAAAGTGAACTTAACTTCCAATTTTTATTCTTTCACTTTCTTAGTTGACTTAAGAAGCTACACTTTTTCCCAATTTGTCCTTGCTGCACGGGTTACCTCACCACACCCCCCCACCTATCCCCATTATTATTCGTTCACCATTTTATCACTAACTTGTAATTGTTGGGGATACAATTTAGTTCACTTATCTCGTTCAAATTTCAAATTGTCCTCCGCCATTATCCTTTCACCCACTACACCACTAAAATTATTATTATTATTTACCCGTATATTGTAAGCGATTTTCGTTTTTTATTGTCTTCTTTGTCGTTGTCATAATGTCAATTCTCGTTTGTCCATTTTCATTTGTGTTCTTCTTATTCTCCTTTCAGACCTTGTGACCGTAATCTGCGCGATGTTGAATTGATATCCTGTCGTCTGCGGCGTGTGGAGCCATTGTGTCGTTTGCCCGGTTCTGCATTGCAGCAATTGGCTATGTGCGGTTTCTACGAAGATCTAGAAAAAGGAGTAACACGTAAGAAGTCGTAACAGTAGCAGAAAGTAGTCGTTGTAGTAATGATAAATGATAAATTTGTTCTTTTTTGTGGCAAAGATTTATTTTTTAGTTCTTTTTGGTATCCGTTTTTTTTTTTTCTTAATCTACTGCTGAAGAATAAAATTTACTTGGACAGAATAAGGTCAAACTTCAATTACATTGAGGTTGCGCTTGATGAAGCTAATGGTGCATTGGTTCAATCTTCCATGCAAGGATAATGTTTTTGCGGATAATAAATATGTTGAATTTTAAAGAATGTTACTTAAGCAGAGTGGCAATATTTTTTCAAGGCTTAGAACAGGCGTGGATTTTTAAAGAATACTTTTTCAAGGCTTAGAACAGGCGTGGATTTTTAAAGAATACTTTTTCAAGGCTTAGAACAGGCGTGGATTTTTAAAGAATACTTTTTCAAGGCTTAGAACAGGCGTGGATTTATTAAAGAATATTTTTTCAAGGCCTAGAACAGGCGTGGATTTTTAAAGAATACTTCTTCAAGGCTTAGAACAGGCGTGGATTTTTAAAGAATACTTTTTCAGGGATTAGAACAGGCGTGGATTTTTATACCCTCCTCCATAGTATGGAGGGTATATTAATTTTGTCATTCCGTTTGTAACTCATCGAAATATTCATTTCCGACCCTATAAAGTAAATATATTCTTGATCAGGGTAAAATTTTAAGACGATCTAGCCATGTCCGTCCGTCTGTTGTAATAACGCTATTTTCTGAAGGAATTGAGATAGGGTGCATAGGGTTGTCTTTTGTCTGCAGGCAGGTCAAGTTCGAAGATAGGATATATCGGTCCACGTTTAGGCATAGCTCCCATATAAGGGGTTCTTGAGCGCGTTTTTCAACCTAATTCACTCAATATTGGGTTGCTATTGGTTACTAAATGTCTCCACAAAAAAGTATAAATATAGGCCCACTTTTTCTGGTAGCCCCCTTATAACGGCACCACCTAATTTTCAGTATTTTGGGGGTCTTAGTCGTATTTTTCCAACGAATTGGCTGTAATTTAGTATTTTGAGTTTTTAATAGGTTCAAAATCTCTCCACAAAAAATTATGAACATAGGTCTATTTTTTCGGGTAGCCCCATTATAAGGGTACCCCCAATTTTCGGTATTTTGGGGGTCTTGAGCGCACTTTTCAACCGAATTCGCTGCAATTTGGTATTTTGTAGTCGTATATGGTAACAAATCTCTCCACCAAAAATTATTAATATTCGCCCCCCTTTTTGGGGTAGTCCCCATATAACCCCATTTTTTATATTAAGATCGTTATTTGATTTGGTCTGTGTTTTGGGCTTGGTTCTAAGACTCTATTGTAATCTTTTCACCTGCGGAGGATATCCAGATAAAAAACTAGAACGTAAGGTACGATAATGAACTATAACCGCATTTAAATCTAGCCCCTGTGTGGGAGGTACCAGAAGGAGTGGACCGATATTCCCCATCTTCGAAATTGAACGAAATTTGGAAGAAATAGTAGTTGGAAGAATAGAAATCTAAATTTTCTGAAACGGATTTTGTCCAAAGAAACATGGGGTCTAAAACAAATATATTTCGATGAGGCACATTTTCACCGTGTCAAAGTGTATACACCCCCATTAGCCATAAGGCTGAGGGTATAATTATCCATTTTGAAATTTATATTATGGTTTACATAATAGGTTTGTAGAAATGTCGGTATAGGTCCACTTTTTGTTATTTTCCCTATATTTCCATTTCAAGTACCTCTCAGTATATCTATGATGGAGAGTATCCAAAGTTCGGCCCGGCCGAGCTTAACGCTTTTTCACTTGTTAAAGTATATTTTTTCAGGGCTTCTATTTCTAAAAATCTATTCCCACACCCAGATCACGACCTCGATTTATGCCACAGTATAATGTATTGTGTGTTATAAATGCATATCTTGCTAAGATCACCTCTTGCTTACATCCGAAGTGGTGTAGGGTATTATATAGTAAACTCAGGTTTTTTATAGGGTTGCAGTTTAAAAAGTTCCATTGTCTTTTCATTTTGTGAGGTGTGGTTGCAAGAAGAAATTAATATAAGGCGCCTAAAACTATGCTACACTTTTTTGCTTACTACTCTAAAATGTTAATAATGAAGTTCTGTAGATAATTATTTTGCTTGTAACAAATAGTTTTTGTTTCGGTACTTTCTATTCCTTTAACCATTTATTTTGCTTTCCATTTCCCCCTTTTCATTCATGTTACACATCTATTTTCTGTTCTCTTTATAGTTTTTCGTGCCGGTGAACAAGGTCGTTTTTGGTACGCTGTCTTAGGTGGGTCACTCGAAGTGCGCTATCATGCCAGTGATGCCAACGAAGGAAAGGTAAGTACTTAAAATTCTAAATAGTTTGGGTTTTTTGCTGTTGTTGTTGTTGGCTGGTTAGATTTTTACCTTCAAATTGGTTGGGATGGGAAAATAACAAAACAACAACAAAACATAAATAAATGAATAAAAACAAACAACAGCATTTTTAAAGGAAATAATAAATTTTTAATATGCCAAAGTCTCAGAGAACTTCGGTCGGTAAATGTGTGGTGTTCTATGGTTGCTTCTCTTGTCTGCTTCTTCTTCTTCTTGCTTTTGGTTTTTGCGATAAACATAAAAAGTTTAAAGAATTTTCACTGAACGCGAAATTCGCTACCATGAAAATGAAAAACTTTGGCATTTTCATTTCGAAATTTCGTTCGTTTCGTTTTCTTAGAAAAGTGAGTTAACGTTGCCAAAGTTGGGTTGCTGCTGCTACAGTTGTTGTTGTTCTTCGGATAATAATATTGGATGGAAATAGATACTCTTTTAATTTTTCCCACAGATTTTTGCGCACTTAACAAAAATGTATAAAAATAGGAGTAAAGAAAACAAAAAAACGAACGAAGGACAAAACATCCTGTTCCACAAAACTTGGACGTTATTGGAGATAGAGAGTGAGTGTACGTGAACGTACAGATTTATTTGGCGCCAGATTCATTTAAAATTGTCGTGACACAGTATTGCTGGCGCCGGAAATAATTTTTAAAGAATATTTCTTCTGTTTTTTAATATTTAAACTTTGTGAAGTTAAATAGATATGGGTATGCGTGTTGTGACCACAAAGTGTGGGTTGTTTTGGAATTTGTGATATAAAAGTGAAATATATATATATTAGTGGAATATTTGGGTAGTTAGGTAATCTCCAAGATAGGCCTTCTTTAAAAAATCCACGCGTTTTATAGGCCTTCTTTAAAAAATCCACGCGTTTTATAGGCCTTCGAAAAATATTCTTAAAAAAATCCCCGCCTTCTATAGACCTTCTTTAAAAAATCCACGTCTTTTATAGGCCTTCGAAAAATATTCTTAAAAAATCCCCGCCTTCTATAGGCCTTCTTTAAAAAATCCACGCCTTTTATAGGCGTTCTTTAAAAAATCCACGCCTTTTATAGGCCTTCTTTAAAAAATCCACGCCTTTTATAGGCCTTCTTTAAAAAATCCACGCCTTTTATAGGGCTTCTTTAAAAAATCCACGCCTTTTATAGGCCTTCTTTAAAAAATCCACACCTTTTATAGGGCTTCTTTAAAAAATCCACGCATTTTTTAGGCCTTCTTAAAAAAAAGTATTATTAAAAAAATTCACGCTTTCTAGAGGTCCTTGAAAAGTATTCTTTAAAAAATTCACGCTTTCTAGAGGTCTTCGAAAAGTATTCTTTAAAAAATCCACGCTTTCTAGTGGTCTTCGAAAAGTATTCTTTAAAAAATCCACGACTTCTAGAGGCCTTCGAAAAGTATTCTAAAAAATTCACGCTTTCTATAGGCCTTCGAAAAATATTCTTTAAAAATTCCACGCCTTCTATAGGCCTTCGAAAAGTATTCTTTAAGAAATCCACACCTTCTATAGGCCTTCGAAAAGTATTCTTTAAGAAATCCACGCCTTCTATAGGCCTTCGAAAAGTATTCTTTAAGAAATCCACGCCTTCTATAGGCCTTCGAAAAGTATTCTTTAAGAAATCGACGCCTTCTATAGGCCTTTGAAAAGTATTCTTTAAGAAATCCACGCCTTCTATAGGCCTTCTTTAAAAACTCTTTAAAAAACCTAAAAAATCCACCCCTTCTTTAGGCCTTCTTTAAAAAATCCCCGCCTTCTATAGGCCTTCTATAACCTTCTTTAAAAAGTCCACGCCTTCTGTAGGCCTTCGAAAAATATTCTTTAAAAAATCCCCGCCTTCAATGGGCCTTCTTTAAACAATCCACGCCTGTAGAAGGCCTTCGAAAAATATTCTTTTAAAAACCCATACCTGTCCTAAGCCTTGAAAATATTCCTTGAGAAATCCACGCCTGTTCTATGCCTATATGATTAATGTAGGTCCACTATACCATATTTAAAAAAAAAATACATCTGAAAATATTTCCTTATAATTGTTTTCTTTTATTTTATTAATTTTAAATTTCTTATCTCCGACGTGGTAAAATTCGCCATTTACAAGATTCAATAGATTCCCGATCTCGCACCGCCATTACATTCAACCACCTCCGATTGGCATCATAAGGCCTAGTGGCACATAGCAGACGACCATTTTCCGTGTGTTGTAAATAGATATAGGCCTCCCCCTCCGGTTCATTATTCGATGGTGGATTACCAAATGGCCAAATAATATTCCACCACAAAGGTGCGGAACACGAATCCATGCAGTTGGGACAAAATGAAACACTGTCGTCCTTGGATTCCAAACATCTAGGTTCTCCATTGAAAAATACGGAGATGGCCACCATACTTCGGGCATTGAAGAGTAATTTGAATTTCCCCTTTACCTTTGGACTGTTCGGGGTGTGTATATAGGTAAATACAAGACGTTTCTCCGCCGTCGGGCCTCTATCCTGATCGGCTAACATATATTCATTGTGGCCACGATTCAGTATTGAAACATTGACATTTTGACTTTGATAGATGTCGAGTAATTGATGCGGCAATTCTTTGCGGATTCGTTCGCCCGTAATGACCTGTTGGGTGGTGAGGTCTCCTAGGTTTTGATTGAGTAATGTGGTCAGGGCGTGGGTAATAATGGGTAAAATATGACCATTATGTTTGTAATGTGTATCCACCTGGCTCCATAAATATTCAATTATTTGAAATTTCAATTTGGCATTTTTTAAGGCCGTCATCACCTGTTCCATAATTAAGGCCGGATCTGTGCGGTGTAGCTGCAATTCTTCCAGAGCATTTTTCCATATCATGAAATGTAAATTCGAATCGATTTCATATAAATCATTATCTATGATTTGTAAATTGTTGGTATTCTTTAATTCTGCACTCTGTATGCTAGCAATAATTTCCTCAGTCAGCATCTCATTTAAACTATTCGCCAGTTCATTTTTAATTAAAGCATCAAACCGATCAATATTTGTTTGACTCTTAGACAATTTGCTGTAGACTTGAAATACACTACGAACACCAACACCACAAGTCGGATCACTTGAGTCATGCCAAAAATCCCCTATTGTTTGATTGGTACATGTTGTTAGTGTGGCTTGACCGGCAGCAACCAGAGTATGGGGGGAGAGGATGGCAATAAGACTTAAACACAAAACCTGTCGTCCAACCATTGCGACTGACTGATAATCGATAACTGAATTTAAATTTGCGAAATGCACTCAGAACGATCAGTCATTTCGGCCTTTTGAGATAATACATGTTGACGATTGAGGAGAGAAATTCTCTTGGAGAAATTTTAAAAAATAATCTCTGCAAAATTTTTGAATGCAAATCGTTCTCTTTTTTTTTAATGAATATTTTTTCACGGCCTATAAGAGGCGTAGATTATTTAATGAATATTTTGTGAAGGCCTATAAGAGGCGTGGATTTTTTAAAGAATATTTTTAAAAGAGGCGTGGATTTTTTAACGAATATTTTTAAAAGAGGCGTGGATTTTTTAACGAATATTTTTAAAAGAGGCGTGGATTTTTTGACGAATATTTTTAAAAGAGGCGTGTATTTTTTAATGAATATTTTTTCAAGGCCTATAAGAGGCGTGGATTTTTTAATGAATATTTTTTTCAAGGCATATAAGAGGCGTAGATTTTTAACGAATATTTTTAATAGAGGCGTGGATTCTTTAATGAATATTTTTTCAAGTCCTATAAGAGGCGTGGATTTTTTAATGAATATTTTTTAAAGATGCGTGGATTTTTTAACGAATATTTTTTAAACAGACGTGGATTTTTTAACGAATATTTTTTAAAAAGGCGTGGATTTTTTAACGAATATTTTTAAAAGAGGCGTGGATTTTTTAACGAATATTTTTTAAAGAGGCGTGGATTTTTTAACGAATATTTTTAAAAGAGGCGTGGATTTTTTAACGAATATTTTTAAAAGAGGCGTGGATTTTTTAATGAATATTTTTTCAAGGCCTATAAGAGGCGTGGATTTTTTAATGAATATTTTTTCAAGGCCTATAAGAGGCGTGGATTTTTTAATGAATATTTTTTTCAAGGCATATAAGAGGCGTGGATTTTTTAACGAATATTTTTAATAGAGGCGTGGATTTTTAGACCTCGAGGCGGGGATTTTTTAACGAATATTTTTAATAGAGGCGTGGATTTTTTAACGAATATTTTTAATAGAGGCGTGGATTTTTTAACGAATATTTTTAATAGAGGCGTGGATTTTTTATTTTGTGAAGGCCTATAAGAGGCGTGGATTTTTTATTTTGTGAAGGCCTATAAGAGGCGTGGATTTTTTAATGAATATTTTTTAAAGAGGCGTGGATTTTTTAACGAATATTTTTAAAAGAGGCGTGGATTTTTTAATGAATATTTTTTCAAGGTATATAAGAGGCGTGGATTTTTTAATGAATATTTTTTTCAAGGCATATAAGAGGCGTGGATTTTTTAACGAATATTTTTAATAGAGGCGTGGATTTTTTAACGAATATTTTTAATAGAGGCGTGGATTTTTTAACGAATATTTTTAATAGAGGCGTGGATTTTTTAACGAATATTCTTAATAGAGGCGTGGATTTTTTAACGAATATTTTTAATAGAGGCGTGGATTTTTTATTTTGTGAAGGCCTATAAGAGGCGTGGATTTTTTAATGAATATTTTTTAAAGAGGCGTGGATTTTTTAACGAATATTTTTAAAAGAGGCGTGGATTTTTTAACGAATATTTTTAAAAGAGGCGTAGATTTTTAACGAATATTTTTAAAAGAGGCGTGGATTTTTTGACGAATATTTTCAAAAGAGGCGTAAATTTTTAACGAATATTTTTAAAAGAGGCGTGGATTTTTTGACGAATATTTTCAAAAGAGGCGTGGATTTTTTGACGAATATTTTTAAAAGAGGCGTGTATTTTTTAATGAATATTCTTTTCAAGGCATATAAGAGG